CTTTATGATATTTGTTCAGTTTGTTTTCCAGATGGTTGCTTTTGTAGGGCTTGCGACCTCTTTTAATGTTATTGTCCTAATGTTTCACATTAGTGTTAAAATCATCTTGATAAGCTCTTTTTAGTGGTAAAGTGATGCCCATGATGGACCAATAATGAGTCTCCAAATATGCCTTTTCTTTTCTTTTCCTTCCGAGCACAACTAATATGCCTTTTCTTTTCTTTTCTTTTCCTTCCGAGCACAATATTGACAACTAAATTTTTATGGTTAATTATGACAATTTTTTTGTTCTCTCTATTTATTAGTGATGACTTTTTTAATCATATTATTAAATTAACCGAGCTTATTAAATTCATTTAATTAAATAATTTATGTCTCAGAGTTTTTTTATTTTTTTGAAAACGCTATCACCACCTAAATATTTGTTTTATGCTAGAAAAAATTTAGATTGGTCTATAATGTAATGTGAACTACTTATCTAGTTTAGCAACTAAAACCAATATTCAATTTATCTCATTTGAAATTGTCTTGCCATACCTCCTCTTAATCATCTATATATCATATATTCTTCATCAAAACTATTTAATTTTGTCATTTGTTATTTAGTGTCATTGAACTTTATGTAAATAATATGTAATATTTAAGTTCATTTCAAATAGATATTTTTATTATTGATATTAATGAATAAAAGATATTTTGATTTCTAACAATATTGATATTAACATTTTTTTTTTCGCATAATAGTTTGTAATGTAATAATATGTATATGTAAATAAATATATAGTTGTCAACTCTAATCCAATTCATTGAATAATCCAAAAACCTAATAATCTAGGATTTGGTAAAAGTTTAAATCAAATAAGGGATTGATCTTATCAAATCCCGCATAGGTCAAAACATGGCTTTGATTAAAAAAAATAAAATTGTTTGCTTATAATAGGATTGAAACCTTGGTTTTTTTATTAATTAAATCTTTTTATCAACTCATTAAAATTATCATATAAAAAAATTTAGTTTTGATATTATATTTATAATTTATCATTATAATTGATTTATTGAGTTAACTTACTTATCAAATAAGCTATCTTACGACCTGATAACTCAAGATCTTAGTCAAGTTAGCCTATATTTTATAAATGAGTAAAGATAAACAACAATTAGCTATCATTGGGACATAATTTTTGTTTCATACCTTTATTTTACTTCTGTATTCTTCAAATATATATGCTTATATTTATCGGTTGTTGGATGTAATAAATACTAAAAGAGTTAAATATAATTATTTTAGAGAAAAATAATTAAATGTATTTATAATAGTGTAACTATTCTAATTAATAAAATAATTATATTTATTAACATCAACAGTGTAACTATTCTAATTAATAAAATAATAATAATAAAATAATTATATTTATTAACATCACCTAAACCCCACATAAAAAACATTTTAGATAAGTTTTAGATTACTACGAATTTTAATAGTAAAATTACAAGTTTGCCTTTACTTGTGAAATAAAAAAAGTTGGTATTGAGGGGTAAAATGGTCTTTTTACAAAGTTAATTTGTCATTCTTCATTTATTTAGAGGCAACATTTTCTTTTTTATTTTTTTAATAAAAATAAAATTATTGTATTAACTTTAAAAGTTAAAAATCACAACCTCTAATCTAGGGGCTTTATAAAAAATTCAATTCCTAATGAATAGTGAAATCATTTCGTTGCTCTTGCCATTCAAATTTCTTAACATTAAGTTTAGGGTTTTGGTAGTAATTTTCTAATAGCTTTTTCATTATTATTATTTAGTTATAGGGGAATTTAAGTATTTGTAAAAATAAAATAAAAAAGAAAACAATTGCTAAGAAATGCCAAGCATGTGTCAACCATTTTGTTGTATTTAGGCAATATATGCTACTAATATCGGTAGTCATAGTCAGGCTTCTATCATGTCATCTAATTTATCTCGGCATCTTCTTTCTCATTAGATGAAACATGTATGGTGGTTTGGTTTGATTTGGTATGTATATTTTGTTTTATTTTCTCTCTCATTCGCCTTAATTTATGTATAGTCTCTTGAAAAAAATACATTTGCTCTTCAATTTCTTTTCCTTTCATATTTAGTTCATCTTTTTTTAATTACAAATATTAAATTTAAAAAATTATTTTCAATTTAATCATTCTTTAATTTTTTTCATCGCTTAAATTTAATTTTCATTCTTTTAATTGCTATTTTTATTTTATTTTAGATAATTTATAAAATCAATTTTTTTTTTGTGATTTCATTCTCCTTTAATTTTTTTCTATCATGTTTTATCCTCTTTCATTTAATTACAAATTTTATGCTTTTGATAAATTTTTTAGATTAACATTTTTTAAAATTTTATCCCTTATTAGGGATTTACCTTCTTGATTAAGCCTAAGTATGAGATTTCATGGGATGTAATTTTTTTGATGATTTTATTCTTCAACATTAAATTGATTGTAAATTAACTTTCTTGACTAAGCCCTAGTATGAGATTTCATGGGTTGTGATTTTGAGATATTAACTCCAATTTAAGATATTCACCCAAGTTTTCTTTATTTTTCATGCTATTAAATTAGGATTGCCTTTTGTTATATTATTAAATCAATTGAACTTATCTTTTGTTTCTTTCATGTTATTTTGGAATATTATCATAACATTTCCTTGATATTTTTCTTTTATGTCTAGAGAAAATTTCCCTAGCCCTTGTTGTTGTGCCAATTATCGATGTAGATTTTGTTATTGACTGAAAAATTAGATGAACTAGTATTAAGGGGTGAAATAGTCTTTTCACGAGGTTAATAAGTCATTCTTCATTTTTTTTGGGCAACACTATCTTTTTTATTTTTAAATAATAGTAAAAGTATTGTATTAACCTTTAAAAGTTAAAAATCTTTTAGCCTTGATTTTAAGGGCTTAATGACTCCATTGCCCTTACCATCTAAATTGTTTAGTCTTGAGTTTAAGGGCTTGATAATAATTTCATATTGGTTTTTTGTTATTGTTATTGTTATTTAATTCTAGGGGTATTTTAGTATTTGTACAAATAAAATAAAAAATAAAAAATTTGCTGATGCGTGTCAAGCACGCATTAACCACTCCAACATATTTGTGCAACACTTGCGGGTGATCATGATGGTTGTAACCATGTTTGTTTCTTCTTTGATGGTGCATGTATGGTTGTTCGGTCCAGTTTGGTGTATATTTTTGTTCCCTATATTTTATCTCTTTCACCTTGTTTTTTGCACCATCCCTTGAAAAAATCACTTCAACCCTTAAACTTCTTTCACCTTTAAATTTAGTCCTTTTTCTTTTAAATGTAATTTTTAAAATTTTAAATTATTTTAAATTTCATTATTTTTAATTATTTTTATCTCTCAGATTTAGTTCTCATTCTTTTAATTTTAATTTTAATTTTATTTTAGATAATTTATAAAATTGATTTCTTCTTGTGATTTTATATCCTTCAATTTATTTTATTCATGGGTTGGAATTTTAGAATATTAACTCAAATTTAGAAGATTTATCTAGGTTTTCTTTGCTTTTCATATTATTAAATTAGGGCTATATATGTACTATTAAATTAATTGATTCTATCTTTTGCTTCTTTCATGTTATTTGGGAATGTTATGCTAATATTGCCTTAAAATTTTTCTTTTTGTGTCCAAATTTTTATGTTAATTGTCGATGCAGGTTTACTAGAGTCAATTTTCTTTCTCTCTTTTAATTTTATATTTTAATATAATTTTAACTTTTAATATTTAGTTAATTGTAATTGGACTTTCTAATTGTTTCGGTTTAGGTTTTATGGTTCTATCATATCATTTATTATAGGTTTTGTAGGTTAACAACAATTAATCTAGATTAATTTGATGTATTGATGTTTTAATATTTCTTTTTAAAAAATATTTCTTTCAATATATAATAGATTAGCCTGTTTGACAATGTGGTTGTGATTGTTTTTTAAAGTATAGTATTGCCTTAAAATTTTTCTTCTTGTGTCCAATTTTTATGTCAATTGTCGATGCTAGAGTCAATTTTCTTTCTCTCTTTTAATTTTATATTTTAATATAATTTTAACTTTTAATATTTAGTTAATTGTAATTGGACTTTCTAATTGTTTCGGTTTAGGTTTTATGGTTCTATCATATCATCTATTATAGGTTTTGTAGGTTAACAACAATCAATCTAGGTTAATCTGATGTATTGATGTTTTAATATTTTTTTTAAAAAATATTTCTTCCAATATGTAACAGATTAGCCTGTTTGAAAGTGTGGTTGTGGTTGTTTTTTAAAGTATTTTTCATTCTGAAATATATATTTTTTATTTTAAAATATATTAAAATAATATTTTTTTTATTTTTTAAATATTATTTTTGAGATGAGCGGATCAAAATGATCCAAAACACAAAAAATAATTAATATTTAGAAAAAAAATATATTTTTTTCTGAAGTTTTTGGAAATATTTTAAAAATAATTCAGCCACCATGCTTTTGGCAAAAAATTGGCTTCGGATAAAAAAACTAGTCTTTCCCTTTACCACGACTCATGTCAGATCTTGGATGCATTACGTATCACTACATTCGTTTTACTATTATGACATGTTGAATTAGATGCACAGATCATGTAATGATCCATTACATTTCTATTTTTGATTATCCAATTTTTTAAATTATAATGTGGTGGAGGACTGCAATCATTATAATCCATTACATTTAAGCATTATATATAAAAAAAAACTATATAATAAACCATTATATAATTAAGAGTAATCATGTAAAAATTTAATTGCAAAAAAAAATGTTTATTATAAAAACTAAACTATAATTTTTATAAAATATAAGGAAAAAAAAATCTCAAACAAGGACCAATTATAAATTCAAATAAAATATAGAGGCTACAATGATTTTTTTTTTAAATATAGGAGTAAAATGAAAATGTGTTCATTATATTACACATTTAATTGCATTACACTAATTGCCTTGCACCTCGAATTTCTGAAATTTGATGTCATCAATCCTTCCGCACGAGCAAAAACACAACAGGAACAGTTAAAGTCAATTCAATCGAAAAACACATTACTAAGTCACCAACTCTACTCGTTCTTACACAAAACAATCTCATGGGTTTGCCTGAAATCGTTGATGTTGCCCGTAACTTCGCTGTCTTGGTCAGAATCCAAGGCCCCGTAAGTCCCTCAATCACCTATACACAAATCTGTGCTTTCATAGGTTGACAATGAATATGTGTGTGTTTTCGTGTGTTTCTTTAGGACCCCAAAGGACTAAAGATGCGAAAACATGCTTTTCATCAATTTAAGTGAGTGAATTTATTTTTAAAAATGTGATCTTGGAATACAAAATTGCCTTCTTTTTCATTTCAATATATTCTTATTGAATTTTCTTTATCTGGGTTCGTGTAGTTCTGGCAAGACAACACTTTCAGCTTCTGGGCTGTTATTACCTGACACCCTTTATGATGCTGACTTGGCTAACCGGATTTTGGAGGGTAAAAGCCAGGGTCTTGGGTTGGTAGTCACAGTTGCTTCTGTTGTTGAGCCTTTTTTGTCATCAAAACATAGAGAGGGCATTTCTCAGGTTTGAATTACTTCTATTTAATGTGTAATTGGGTTTGTTTTGTTGTTTTTGGATTTTTTTAGGTGAATTGCTGGGATTATTGTTTGATTGCAGGGTCCGCCCGAGTTGGTTCCTGGTGCTCATGTTGATGTTATGGTAGAGGTATGAGATGATACTGTGCTAGTTGTTAACTTGGTTGAAGTGATTAGTAGCTGGAGTTAATGTGTTTTATCTTGCAGGGAAAGTTGGGTTTGAGGAAAGATGAAGATGGGGGTTTGGATAAAGGAGCTTCTTGCTGGCTAAGTGCACACCTTATTAGATTGGTAGGCATTTTGAGTGAGTTATCTGTTTAGCTGAACATTGAAGAAGCCTCAGAGAGAATCAATATGTGCTTGTGTAACAGCATTGAAAACTAGTTATCTAACACTAGCCAACTAATTATTAGATTCTGAATTTCAGTTGGTTTGTTGTGTGCTTTTTTCAGTAAAGTGGAGCATGATGTTTTTGTTAGATTCATCAATGCATGTGATAGCTAAGTGTGATACTAGTTGTCCTGGGACATGAATTTGGCTGTGTTTGGCATGCAAATTCATTACTTGTGGGATGGTTTTTACAGTATTTGAAGGCTAATGGTAATGAAAAATTCAATTTTGTTGTTTTTCATGGGATCCAAAACTGATTCGATGCAAATTTTACTTTTCCATGATAGCCTTAGTTTACATTATCAATCAGTAAGATTTAATTGATGTTTAGAGGTAGGGAGTGAATTGATGTTCAATTTCGTGTATGCCAGATTTCAAATGCATCTTAAACTTTGATAATTAATGGATGTTATGTTTGTGTTGGAACTTCAACAGCACTGTCAACTGAGCATATTAAATGCTTCTTGTTTCCAGTATTGGAAATTGCACTTCGTACTGGTGTTCAGTGTTATTAAGATGTTTAAATTTCTTGCTCATTACTACTACACAGCATGTTACTAATCGATCAATTCTCCATGAAGGTTGATGTTCCTGTATCTTCCCTTGCCCTTCAATCACTTGTTGAAGCTTCTTCAGGCTCAATGGACCATGGATGGGAGGTTGGTTGGTCTCTGGCCTCACATGAGAGTGGTCCTCAGCCTTTTATGGATGTTGGCCAGACACAGGTTAGTAAGGGATAATGTTTTTGCAATGGACTATCTACATCTAATTTGAACGTATGATATATGGGATAAATAATGCTGAATCAATCATCTCAGACTGAGCATGGAAATGCTTCTACTGTGGAGAGCCACAGGCATGCAAGGGGAGGATCTAGCAATCCAAGTATTATGGGCAGGTTGACCACAAGGGTTGCTATTCTTGGTGTTTTCTTACATTTGAAGGTAAAGTGTACCTTTCGTTTTTCTGTTTCCTTTTTATATGCCACCTTAGAGAACCCATCTACATGATTTTTGTGTTGTTATAATTTCTTTACATCTACATTATATAATATAGACTTGGAATTTATCATTTAGGATCTGCCCAGCTTTAAAATATTGGCATCAAGAAAAAGGGGGGATTTTCTTTTAGCAGTGGGTTCTCCTTTTGGTGTCCTCTCACCTGTCCACTTCTTTAACAGGTATCATTCTTTGCTTTACCATCTTGTTTAATGTCTACACTTGGTTTGGATTCTTAGATCTCATTTCTGATGATTTGTTTTTGTCAAAAGCATGATACAGCACATAAATCTGGTATTTGCAACGTCCATTCTTAAATGTCCATATAGGTGGCACTTCTAGTTTGGTTGATATAGAGCATTAATACTAAAGGAGATCATTTATTTACTCTATGTTTTAGTGTAGAACAGATAATGAATGAAATATCTATATTCTGTGGTCATCTAGCGTCCTGAAACTAAACTGGATTCAACGTGTGTCTGTGTGCATACGAGGTGTGTAGTTAGAAAAAATTCCATTTGCACTCAATTGTGGTATTGCTACCTCATGCTGAACCTGAGTTTCATTGTCAAATTCTTTTGATACTTTCAGCTTGTCAGTGGGATCCATTGCCAACTGCTATCCTCCTAGATCATCTGACATATCATTGCTGATGGCTGACTTTCGGTGTCTTCCAGGTGCAAGCATTTCAGTCATATTTTCTGTGGCTCTTTCATCCTTTATAATTCTGATTCCATTTTGATGCTAAATATGCCAGGAATGGAAGGTAGTCCAGTTTTTGGTGAAAATTCAGATTTCATTGGCATATTGATTAGACCATTGAGGCAAAAGAGTACCGGCGCTGAAATCCAGGTGACTTGGAATAATTCTCAATTTGAATGTTTAAATTATCTGATAGTTAACAGATCACACAAATTCTAGCCTTGGGTGACAGCTGGTGATTCCGTGGAAAGCCATTGCAACTGCTTGCAGTGACTTGCTGCTGAAGGAGCCTCAAAATGCTGAAAAAGGGATTCATATTAATAAGGAAAACTTAAATGCTGTAGGGAATGCATACAACCCTAAGTCAGATGGATCCTTCCCTTACAAGTATGAGCATCATAATTCTCATTGCCCTTCCCCACTGCCAGTTGAGAAGGCTATGGCTTCTATTTGTCTTATTACCATCGATGAAGCTGTATGGGCATCTGGGGTTCTGCTTAACGATCAAGGTCTGATACTCACAAACGCTCACCTGTTAGAACCTTGGAGATTTGGGAAAACAACTGTAAATGGTAGAGAAGATGGAACCAAATCAGAGGATCTTTTTTTTCCACCCAAGGAATTTTCTAGATATAGTGAAGTTGATGGCTACAGGAAGAGTCAGAGGTTGCCACCAAAGACAATGAACATTGTGGATTCTTTGGTGGCTGATGAGAGGAAGGGATACAAATTGAGTTTGTCTTACAAAGACCGTAGAAATATACGTGTTCGTTTGGACCATGCTGACCCTTGGATTTGGTGTGATGCTAAAGTAGTGTATGTTTGTAAGGGACCACTGGATGTTGCCCTTCTGCAGCTTGAGCATGTTTCAGATCAGCTTTGCCCTACCAAAGTGGATTTCAAATCTCCATCTCTGGGATCGAAGGCGTATGTCATCGGACATGGACTATTTGGACCCCGATGTGGTAAATTCTTGACTGCCTTAAATATTTCTTCTTAGATTTATTCTTTCAGGAGTGTTTCTTTCAATTATTTTTCTATACCTGTGTCTTTCTAAGCCTCTGCCAGTTGAAGAAGAACTTAAAAAATCTGGCTTTAGCTGTTATAAATAAATGTGATTGACTACTCTTCTAGACATTTTTTGGCTTTTCCCCTTCTCAAAGCCTACTTTGCTACCAGTGCATCCTTAATTGAGTTCTACTTTGAAAATGGTTTGTTTAAATTTTTTTTTTTGTATTGTCATGCTGGACTTTAACTAATGCATGATGTCATAATAGTCGGCCTACCCAAAGCCAATGTGTCATTTCGTGCACATTCCATCCCCACCACTTCTTAACTTGTTCTGGTAAGATCATCTCTCCACCAGTGCAGTTTGTTGTTTGAATCACTTGCTTTAGTTATGAAGTGTATCTTGTTTTCTATGAATTGTTAAATAAATGTTGTATGATATACTGTATTTCAAGATAGGTGGCCTTAACCTCCAAACCAGCTTTAGAAACTTTCTGAATTGGGTTATAACTTTTCAATCGTTCTGTGTGTGTGCTGCAAAGGAATATAACACAAGAACACTGACCTTTTTATTTTATTTTATTTTTAGAACAGCTATGGTTCTAAATCCATATGGTGGTAATGAGTCCATATCATTTATTGCTTTTGGCTTTCTGCTGAATTGATACTTGCTATAGCTAGTCAACTTTGAAGATTCTCCTGATTTGTTTTTTGGCTTTACTTCATGCTTTTTGTTGAATCTGTTTATGCCTTGAAATTTCAAGGTTCCTCCCCCTCTGTTTGCTCCGGAGTGGTATCAAAAATAGTCAAAACAAAGGCACCCCAATATTGTCAATCCCTTCAAGGAAGGAATTCACACGTTCCAGCAATGCTTGAAACAACAGCTGCTGTCCACCCAGGTGGTAGTGGTGGTGCTGTCATTAATTCAGAAGGTCATATGATTGGACTTGTTACCAGGTACAGTTGCTTTATTGTTTTTTCCTTTTCGCTGTTGTTAAATGGTTCAATGTGAGTGGTTGTTGGTTATTGTGTCACAATGGAAACTGTCTTCCTCTTAGTATGAGTCTATAAAATCCATCTGAAGTTTGTGCTGGTTGCTTATGGATTTGGTATGATGGGGTATGCTTGACAGAAAAATGACAGGAAAGACATAATGAGACATACCTGCATTGGTCAAAAAATATTTTTGCTGTATAGATGTTATCAATTTGATGGAGGGAACACATTTTTCTGTATTATGAGCTCTCAAGCAAGTCTTCTTTCTTGGGTTTTTTTTTTTTCGTCCCTCATTTTCTCCTAGTTAAGTTCTCCAGTTCTTGCAGATTGAACTTCTTTATTTAATAAGAGATATAATTCTTTATTTAATGAGATATATTCTTGGTATAGCAATGCAAGGCATGGTGGAGGAACAGTTATACCGCATCTGAACTTCAGCATTCCATGTGCAGTTTTGGCGCCTATCTTTGATTTTGCAAAAGGTTGTTCATCTAAACATTGGCTTTGAGAACATGTCAATCATGAAATGAATTAATCTTATTCCCACATTATTTAGATTCTCAAGCTTATCATTGCAGAGTGATATGCTTCATTAATTAATGACCACAAACACCAAAAAGATTGTTTTTTTTTTTTTAAATCACATTTCGTAGAGGTTATTAAAATTTGTGGTTCTATGTTTTAAATCACATTTCTTAGAGGTTATTAAAATTTGTGGTTCTATGGAACTCATAGTCTTTCCATGAATTAGTGTTGGGGAATATAGCAACTATAGGATCAAATTGATATGTGATACATGATGAATTTATCCATTTCATTGTTTTTGCAAGTTGGCTTTGTTGCTGGCTGTAGTATATGCAGGTAAAGCATGCTTGTGGATGCTGACAAATTTGTTTTTCTCACGACAGAAATGCGGGATATAGCACTTCTGCAAAATCTTGACCAACCAAATGAAGACCTTTCTTCTGTATGGGCATTAATGCCACCTCTCCCCCCCAAACCAACCCCTCCTTTGTCTACTCTGCCAGAGTCAATATTGCAAGATAATGAGAAACAAGTGAAGGGTTCTAGATTTGCCAAATTCATTGCTGAAAGAGACAAGCTTTTTAGAGGTTCAACTCAACTAGGCAAGGCCGGGAGCATTTCAAACGTGATTTTCCCCAGTAAGTTATGACATTGCAAGCTGGATAAGAATGAACATGTCAGGGGCAGGCTATTGAAGAGTGGATTGGTCAAGAAGTATGCTCCTGCAAGTCGAGGATTGTAACATAATAGAAATTCAAAGGCACCCAAATAATGTTGCTGTACACTAAACAGCACTATCCCTCTCTGTTTTCTGTATGCTATTTATGTTTCGTGATTAGAATTCCAAATTTGAAATTCTTTTTGTCATAGTTCGATTCAATTTAAGGTCAGAGTTTCCCTAAACACCTCTTATATCAGTTGCAGGAATTCCTTCAATTTATGTTCATTTTCTCCGACAATTTGATCTTGCGCCTGAAGTTTTTATTAGAATAGATGATTAGACATAATGTATCAAATAAATAAATAAAACATGCTTTGTAAAACCCAAATCTAGGTTAGCAAGTTGATATTAACAAAATTCTTCTATTTTCTTTTCTTGTAATTGAAGAATGAAATTAGGCTAAATGTTGTTACACTAAGAGGTATTTATGCAGAATACATATCAAACATGTACGGAAGTCAATTACACAATAGGCCTAGAATCTAAATCGAAAAATAAAAATCAATATATACCAAAATATCCATGTGTTAAGTTGGGAGAACATAACACTTTTACCTAAACAGGATTTTAGGTAAGTCAAGATATGATTCATTGCAACATTATCTGTATATAATATGTTAAGTCTTGCATGAGTTGGATAGATGAGCTACCTTGCCAACCTTTGACACCTCTCTTTATTTGTTGGGACCTAACGTAAGTAGAAAGCGAGACCATGGCTCATCTCACTAGAAGTATCCACAACTTTATAGGTAGAGTTATTAGTTTCGGCCAGGAGATCTAATATTTGTTTCCAAAGAAAAAGTCCTTTCTTGGATCGAGTTACTCAACGCTGAAGAAATATTTTAAAGGTCCAAGTTTTTCATCTTAAATTCCTCGATCAAGTAGTTTTGAAGCTTCTTTATATCACTTATGTCATTTTAATGCAACAATCATGACATCAATATAAATAATAAGATTGTAATATTAACACCTTTTCTTTTATGGAAGAGAGTGTGATCTACTAATGCTTGCTTAAAACCAAAGTGATTTAATCTGCCAAACCAAGTCCTTGACAACTACTTAAGTCTATGTACCTTTTTATCTTGTATGTTTTACCTCATTCTAGTATAAATCTTAGAGGAGGATTTATATACACCTCTTCCGACAAATCATTGTGAAGAAATACATCTTTCATATCAAATTGTTATAATAGCTTATCCATGTTAACTATAAGAAAGAGTATAACTCTAACAATGTTTATCTTTTTTTTTTAGATTAACGTGGGGGCCCGGGCCAGCTGGCGGGCACCACGACTAATCCCACGGGCCCTGAAGTTAACGACCATGTAAGCCTCCAGTGACCATCATATGAGCAATCAATGACTCGAACCTGAGACCACAGAGGGAGCAAACCCCTTGATCCCAAGTCCTTATCACTTGGCCACCACCTAGATGGTTTAACAATGTTTATCTTAGCCATATAAGTATAAGTTTCTTAATAGTCAATCTTAAAACTATAGGTGTAACCCTTGACAACTAATCTAGCTTTGTATTTAGTAAACTATCCTATATGACTTCATCATAAAAATTCATTTATAATCAATTGTTTTCTTTTCTTGAGTTAACTTGACTATCTTTTAAATAGAGTTATTTTAGAGTGCTTTTATTTCCTCAACCACAGTAAACTTCCAATCAAGATCTCCAAGAACTACCTAAAAAGAATTAGAAATAGACATATAAGACAACTAGAAGGTAAAAAATAAACGAGACATAGACAAATAATAATAAGAGATAAAAACAAATATGAGATAAATGACACTGAAAGATGATACGAAGAAGCCAAGTCTATTAGGCTCTTTACAAACATGAAAAAGATATATCCTATCTTGATAGTTAACTTATGATCTTAAGTTGACAAACTCTAAAGATACATATTATAAATTTATAGAGAAAAGGGACACATATCTCATAGTGAATTTCAAAATAGTTATCTAATGGCATGGTAATATCATTAAGAAGGATAATTATATTCATATTCTTTATATATAACCCTTTTAAAATAATTAAGTGGGCTTACTTTTTTCAGGTTTAGATACAACTTTTATAAAATAAAAAAAGATCATTCTTCATCTAAAATAACTTAATCTTTTTTCTTTCTTGAAATCAGCGATATATTTTCCACCAACTATAAATGTTCTTCCTCTTTACTACTAATTTCTCATGAAAGAGGAATGAGAGACACATTTCTAGAAAAATAAAATACTTGTTCATAGAAGTAAACATCCATAAATATATAGTATTTACTTACAAAAGGATGAAAATATTTATCTCTCTTTTGAAAATTAAAGCAACCAAGAAAAACACACTAAAAAGCATGAGGATTAAGTTTATCTCAACAAAAAAAATGAATATAAACATAATCTCTATAACTAAAAATCTTATGATGAAGATTAAGAGTAGAAGCAACAAAGTGAAAACTTGATAACATCTTCAAAGAAGTTTTATGGTCAGTAATATAGGTAGACATCTTATTAATAAAGAAAACAATAGTCATGACAATATTAATCCAGCAATATTTAGGAACATACATAGTACAACTTAATATATGAGCTATCTCTAGGAGATTATGGTTTATATGTTATATTATATCTTTGTATTATGGTGCGTATACAAATTGTCTTGTAAAGGATGCTATGGATCTTAAAAAAAAATAAGAAAAAGATTGATTTATAACTTATGACCATTGTTATAATGAAAGACCTGAAATTAATAATGAAATTGTGTGATAATCATTTTACAAAATTAAGGAATAACATATATAAATTACTCTTAGATTTTAATAAATAGACCCAGCTTAACCTAGTGAAATTATTAATAAAAAAATAAAATATTTATGACTTGAAGTAGTAAAGGTAGCAAAAAGACCCTGAACATCAATATAAACATTTAAAAAAACTTTAATCTTTTATTAAAATTTACTTTAAAAGGAACACAATGATTTTTAGCATAAATGCATTACTTATATTGTTAGCTAGAAATAGAAATATCATAAAATATATTTTCTTAGTAAACTTAGAAAATAAATATTTTAAATACAAAAACAAAGGATGACATAACCAACAATGCTATAAAAGATATTTTTTCCATGTTAACTTCTCTTTCTTTACTTGAAGAAATGGAACGAACTCATAATACAATACCATAACTTCTTTTACATGTAGATGACAATACTACAAGAAACAAAACAAGAATAAATAACAAAATTTTTTATCAAATAGGATCACACCACAAATCTTAATTTTTTATTATTGAATATTTCACTACATAAAAATTCATAAAAAACTCTATATTATAACTCTTCTAGGTTGCTTATATATTAGTAAAAAGTTCTAAACAAAATTGAAAAAAATAATAAAAGATTTCTAATCCAAATAAGAAAAAAAATCTTAAATTAACTAGAAAAAATTAACAAAGCCCAAACAATAATTTTTAGATCATATTTGAAGGTTTTCCCCAACTCTAATGGGTATGCAATTTTAACCCTAAATAAATAAGACCTTTAGAATATTTTAGAAATTTTTTAGCAAGTTCAAATGGTTGGATTAAAATGTATGCTTGTCAATATAAAATTGTGCATTAAAAAAAAATATTTCATGTTATTCCCCATGTAAAATGGTGATTCTATAGAATTTGATGGAGTTAGAGTAACAAATATAGAGTCTAACATATGCTAGTAGACTAACTTGAGTGGTAAAGGTATGTTAATCTATGACAAATGCATTTGAGTAGTTGATACTATAACAAAACTTGACTAGTCCACATAACTAAGATTTCCCACTTAAAAGCTTTTGATTAATCTATTGTCATTGTTCTGGAACCCATGATACAACCTCTAATTTTTTCTATTTTGATAGCTTGTTTAATTCTTTTGGTAATCCTCACAGTATTAAAGAATTGTTGAGCTAAGTTCCCTATCAGATATTTATAATACATGGATATAAAGATGTTTTCAAACAACATCATGATTTTTGTTTCTATTAGCAAAGGTTAGACATGTGTTGTCTTATCTTATTATTTTTGCGTATATACCCTTGCAGACTCTTGATCTCCCCTTTCTATGGCCATCAGACTGGTTTTGTCATATGTAATTTCAAAATTGAATATATATTGCTTCAATAAGGCATATACTAGATCCTTCCATTTATTAATCTTGGTACTATTCAGTGAGATTATCTTGAAAGAAATAGATTAACATTTTATCAACGTGGATAACTTTAGCCATCTTATGTTTTCAACCATCTTATGTTGCAGTATGACTAGAGATGAGTGTTCTAGCCCAATATACTTAATAAAATCCAACACTTTGAACTCCTTGAGTACCACAATATTTGGAATCAAACAAACTTCAGTTACTCATACAGGGTCAGTTATATCATTTACTTTCATTGCTCTCAATCTTTTTTTTATAACACAAAACTTGCTATAGTCTATAGGATTAACAAATCTATTATAAAAGGGTTTTTTAGTTGTTAAATCCATACTGATTAGAATAGCTAGACAACGACAATAGTGATGTTGGAGTTTTTTTTCTCTATTAACCTTTGGCATGCTATATATATATATATATATAGTTAGCAAATAGAAAAAATAGGCCAATAATCAATTTATGAAGCACTTAGAATCTTTACAGAACCATTGCTAGTCATTAATGGATTTTTCACATTGTACCATTTTCTCACATCATTTTGATTCTCCACAATCTCCTTCTTTTCTTTCTTCCCTTCATTCTTTATAATTTGGAAGAAAAACAACATGTTCTTACCATAGTTCTAAAAAACTACCACCTCTTTTCTAGACGGTAATACTATATGTTTCCCTTTCATATTAATGGTATATGTATTATGCCGTCCGTTATAAGCAAAACCCCTATCATATTTGTATGATCTACTTAATAGTAAATGACATGTATTTATAAACATCACATTACACCAAACATATGAAAACATTTGTTGTCTATAGAAAAAAAAAAACAAGATAATGTTTATCCATGATTACCTTGCTATCTCGATTTAACCACTTTAATTTGTAAGGCCTATGATGTTTTTCTATCTTGAGCTGTATTTTTTTTTAATCTTTACTGACATTATATTCTCACAACTACCACTATCATCAATGATCAAATTACATACCTTGTCTTTGATGATATAAGTTGAACGAAAGAGACTCGTGTGTAGCCAATCCCTACCTAAATCACTCTTAAAAGCAAACATGTTTTTCAAAATGTCTTAGGTTCCATCACCTTGAAAAACCTCTCTGTTGTCATTTAAAACAAAATCTAGATGAAGAAACCTAAGTTCTTCTACAAATAGATTTTTATCCAGATGACTCTTTAGTTTATGAAACTTAATGTTCTTCTACAAATAGATTTTTATCTAGATGACTCTTTAGTTTATGAAACTTAATAATTCAAGGTACCAACTCACCACATCTAAAAAACTTCCATTTAAAACCAAATCTAGATAAAGAAACCTAACTTGTGAATTGTTTAGCTATTGATATACCTTGAATGAACAATTTTTATTTGTTGGTGTATAACTCCCTATTATTCTAGTTAAACCAAAAGCCATATCTATTAGTTATAATAGGAACCTATTATTTCTCCAAAGTATAAGTCTACTTATAGGCTTTTGAAATTATCTATAAAGATTGCAAACATAATATATTCTAGATAAATCGTTGAAATTCATTTAAATACTTGACAACAAACCGCTTTTTCATTTATGACATATCATCACTAGCTACCAGTTTATAGAAATTATTAGTGTATTCAAGGGCGGAAGTAAGAGGGCAAGCAGGGGCCCGAAGCCCCCCTTGTAAGACATTTTTTTTATTATTGGGTAATTAAGTGTGAGAAGGTATTATATTTTTTATTTGAAAGAGGTGAGCTGATTATAGTAATTAAGTGTAATGTTACTTTTGGTTTCCTTTGAATTTAATCTTGAACTATGTGGAAAGAAAGAAAATATAAAGTCATTACTTTTTGCAACCCTAATATAAATCCTGCAGTTGATAAAAATACAAATCGCGAGTAAAATTTTTCTATAAAAAGATTGAAGCAGAGTCACCAATTAATTTATTTTTCATTAAACAAAATAAAGTAATTTAAATTTTAAATCTATTTTTGTTTTGTTTTTCTTTTTGAGTTAATAATTTAATGAGGTTATATATATATATATATAATTCTACCATTTTTGCTCCTTTTTTTTCTTTTCAGATATGCTAGTTCTACCATTTTTTTTTAATTCTTGTTACAATGATTTTTTTAATTAATTAGATATATTTTATTAGTTTGTTTTGATTTATGTTTGGATTTTTTTATGTTTTGTTTTTAATAGAGCCACTAAAATTATCAATTTTTTTCTCACGATATATATATTTTGATTTTATGTTGAACCATGAACAAAATAAGAAGTATTGATTTTTTTTTGAAAAAAAATATTGATAACTCACAACCTAGTGAACCAACTTCAATATGTAATATTGAAGTTATGGTTGAGCAGTTTTAATGTGCTTTAGTTTATAAGAAACTTGCGTTGATTAGTAAGCAACCTCTTACTAAAATTGACATTGCTAATTTAATTAAAGATCCAAGCAATCGTCCTCAAATTTAGAAATACCTGGTTAATCAATAAGATGAAATTCGAAGGGCATGCATTAATCTAGATCCATATCAACCTTTGATGCCTAAATACCTGTTGACTAGTAAAAAACATTATTATCGATTTCAGTCTCATTGGTTCAAAAGTTATCCGTGACTTGAATATTTGAAGAAAAATATTACATTTTGTTTTCCTTGTTATTTATTTCCAAGCAAACCATTTGGAAACCCAGGATCAGACACGTTTATTGTTAAAGGATTTAATTATTGGAAGAAAGTTAATGATAAGAAACGGTGTGCTTTTTTAACCCAGGATCAAACACTTTTATTGTTAAAGGATTTTAATATTTGTTTTTCAATTTCATTTTTCAACATTAGATTGATTGAAAATTTGATTTCATATATTTTTTCATGGAGTTATCCCGGTCTTATGATCTAGATTTGATAAATTAACCAGGGTTGACTTGGGATATTTTTTTAATTGATTTTTTTTCTTCAAATTAATCTTTCAACATTTGATTCATTAAGAATTATGCTTTATAAATTTTTTTATTTGCTTTCTATGGGTTATCATGGTTTTATAACCCAAGTTGCGAGTTTGCCTTATTACCTCAAGTTTTTTTTTGTTATTTTTTTTCAATTTTATCCTTAAATATTAGGTTGATTTAGAATTAAGCTTAACAATTTATTTTTGTTTTTTTTTCTACGAGGTTTTCCTGATTTCATGACTTAGGTCATAAGTTTGGTTGATCTACTCGGGTTGACTTAAGTGGTTTTTCATGTCCTTTGTTAATTGATTTTTTTAAAATTTTACATATGTTAATTATGAACTGGTTGATTGGAAATTGATCATTTAACATTGGGTTGATTGGAAATTGAGTTTTATAACTTGTTTTAATTTTTTTCTTTCTATATGATCATCCCAATCCCGTGACTAAAGTTTGGTTGGTTAACTTGGGTTGACTCGATATATTTTTATAATTGAATTTTATTTTTAATTTTATCATTCAATATTGAATTGATTAAGAATTTGGTCTAATGATTATTTTTTTTTATTTATAACATTATCATAATCTCATGATCTGAGTTAGAGATTTAGCAAGTTAATCTATGTTGATATAAGTAAATTCAAGTAAATCCAATATTTTACCGTCTCAATATTTAAACAAAGCATATACACACTTTTTTGTTCTTTTTCATTGATTTTTTTTTTAATTTTATACTTTAACATTAGGTTAAGTAAGAATTTGATTTCATATTTTTTTTCTATGGACTTATCTTTGTTACATGATCTGGATTTAACAAGTTAATCAAGGTTGTTTTGGGATATGTTTTTTATTTTTTTAATTAATTTTTTTCAAATTAATCCTTTAACATCGGATTAATTAAGAATTATAATTTATAATTTTTTTTATTTATTGTCTATAAAGTTATCATGGTTTCATAACCCAAGTTGTGAATTAGCCTTGTTGTCTTGCATTTTTTTGTTTTTTTTTTTAATTTTTTTAATTTTTTAATTTAATATTAGATTGATTGAGAATTAAACTTTCTAATTTATTTGAGATTTTTTTTTATGAGGTTATCTTGACTTCATGACTTGGATCATAGGTGTGGTTGGTTAGCTCGGGTTGACTCATGTGTTTTTTTCATGTGTTTTTTTAATTATTTTTTTTTAATTTTTAATTATTTTGTTTTCAATTTTATCCTTCAACGTTATATTAATTGAGAATTTAACTTCATAATTTGTTTTAATTTTCTTTCTATGCTATTATTCTGATTTTATGACTAAGATTTGATTGATTAACTTAGGTTAACTCAACTTATTTTTCTAATTGAATTTTATTTTTAATCTAATTATTTAATATTAGGTTGATTGAAAACTTAATTTAATGATTATTTATTTTTTATAGGTTTATCAAAATTTTATAATTTAAATTGAAGATTTCATAGATTAATCTACATTGATCTAAGTAAATCCAGAAAATTCAAGTAAATTTAATATTTTACAAACTGAATATTTAAATAAAAATATATAAAGTAAATTTAATATTTTACAATTTTAATATTCAAATAAAAATATATTTAATTTTTTTCAGAGCTCGGCCAAAAGCCCAAAACTTGGTTGTATCTGTTGAATAAGATGACGCATCACTCACCATCTCTTTGTAATTTGCACATTTCTGGGCAGTCTCTCCTCTCTTGCGGCCACAGATTCCCACACCAATTTTAGACATGAAAACAGTAGGGTGGTGACCGGTCTCTGACAAGGGCAACCAACCAACTTTTACGAGTCTATTGAGGACAATGATTTTTTATTGTTAATTAATTACTTTTAAGGTTTAGGGGTTTAGAGAGAAAAGAGCGAGACTTCAAAGAGAAACCAAAAAATGGGAGAGACATTCGCTTACAAGGAATACTTAGCCGGTTTACTTGCTGGTGTTGCTACTGTTATCACTGGCCACCCTTTTGACACTGTCAAGGTGAGTGCTTTACAGGTGCCCATCTATCAATTTTCAGTCTTTTGATGCAAAACTTGTTTAAAATGAAATTTTATGATGTGGGCAATCGTAAAGTTTGTTGCTTTAGATTTGGAGTTTGTGGGGATGCTTAAAGGGGTAGTGAATATGGGTCTTTCTGTTGATGGTTACTGGTCTGTGATGATGAGTTCTTGCGTAGTTTTGACAATGGTTCGTTGCTGAATTGTGTGCGTATTTGTGTTTATTAGGTGATGCTACAGAAACATAATACAGAAGCACATGGGATTAAGTACAAGAATGGTTTGCATTGCACGGCTAGGATACTACAGGCTGAAGGAGTATGCTTTTTGAACGTTTTCTTGCGAAGCGCAAAATTAACTCAACGATTTCTAAGTTGAATTAGATTGATAAAGTGGCAATTTTTAAATATTCAATTATGTTTATGCCAGATTAAGTACGTGTATCAGTTAATGCAAAGATAGGTTGCATACTTTTTTCTGATCTGAAGATTTCAACAAAATCTTTTGTGGGTTGAATTTTGTAGGAATATGCCTTTACCATGTTTGGTGACTTTAATGATATTGCTTACTGATTTGTTCCAAGGTTATTTGCATTATTGGTAGATTCATGTTAAAATCTGTGAGTGAGAAGATTTTCGGTTTGATGATGTTACTTCACCTATGAACTCGTAAATTTCAGCAACATGCTTCTGCTCTTTGGTCCCTGACATTGTTTGATTGCTTTTAGTCATTGTGTCATTGGAAGTCGATTAAAATATCTTGTAATAATCCTTGCTGCACAGCTTCTAGGTCATACACTGCTTTAGTAGAACATCTCATGCATGTTCCTGAGATTATTCTTTTTGAAAGGATAGCTAGGTGATAGTTGTTATTGACAGGTTAAAGGACTGTATAGAGGGGCAACATCATCTTTTGTTGGAGTGGCTTTTGAGAGTTCCCTTCTTTTTGGCATTTATTCCCAAACAAAGCAGTCATTGCAGGTCTGTGTAAAGTTAGTTGGAAGAGCCTTTTTGTGCATATATATCTTTTGAAGTCTTGTTGAGATTTGAATCTGTCATGTGATTGTTTATCACCTCTTTCTTACTCGTGAAGGGAGGAGGTCAAAGTGATGTGCCCCGACCCCAAGTAATAATTCCATCAGCAGCTTATGGCGGAGCTATTATTAGTTTTGTATTATGCCCATCAGAGCTAGTAAAAGTAAGTTGTGGTCAGTTGTGGCTTTCATATATATCGGAGTGCCGTCTCCTTTCTGTTTCTTTCCTTCTGTAGCATTATTGTGAAACCAAGTTTCTTCAGTGTAGGATGCAAATTCAAGGCACTGACTCCTTGGTTCCAAAGTTCAGTAGATACAGTAGCCCACTCGATTGTGCCCTCCAAACAGTGAAAAATGAAGGGGTGAGAAAACCCTCTGCCTATTAGAAGCTTAAATTTATGATGCAGTCTTGGCTGATGGATAACCTTTCAGGTTACAGGCATTTTTCGTGGAGGTTTTACAACATTGTTGAGAGAATCTATTGGAAATGCTGTCTTCTTTAGTGTTTATGAGTATGTCCGTTATTACATGCATTTACAATTGAAACCCACTTTATCTGACCACAGCAATTTGACTGACATGGGGATCGGAATTGTGAGCGGTGGCCTTAGTGGCGTAGCTGTAAGTACGCTGATAACCTTGCATATCGTGAGAAAAATTGTTTGATGTGCTTCATGAAGTCATTTGATTCAGTTTTTCATTCTGATGCTATCCAGTTTTGGTCTGCTGTTTTGCCCTTGGATGTGGCGAAAACTATCATCCAGACAGCTCTAGATAAAAGCTCCACAAGAAATCCATTTGCAGTTCTGAATTCTGTAAGATGTCCTGTTCCTCTCATTTTGTTGGTTTCAATAGCTCTCCCTAATTCTAATACCAGGGCGATGTTCAGTAAACTTTAAAATACTGTTCTTTTAAGAAAACAAAGAAACCAAATTAATTCCTTTTTTGATAGATCTACATCAGGGCTGGACTTAAAGGATGCTATACAGGTTTGGGTCCAACAATAGTGAGAGCATTTCCTGCTAATGCCGCTGCAATAGTCACCTGGGAGCTAGCCATGAAAATGCTAGGGATAAATCGTGACTAGAAGAGGCAGTTAGCTACCAAGGATTTCTAATTTTTCATTGCATCACCATTATTGGGTTTGACTCATGAAGTTCTCTAGATTGCACCGGGGATGATTTAATTGAATCTTTGAGCTCCAAATAGTAACGATCAGTGCTCTGATATTGCTGCCTGAAAGATAAGGTGGTGATTTTTTTTTTTCCTTACAGATTCTATGTAGGAAGGTCGTGAATTAATCCTGTCCTCAGTTTGGAAATGCTTATGCAAGTCATGTTCTAGGATGTAGTCCTCTGGTCACATTCATTCATGGCTGAAGAATTTCAAATAATAACGGTTTATTTTTAAAAATATTTTTTATTTTTAATATTATCACATTAAAATATCAAAACAATTAATTTAAAACTAAAAAAAATAAAATTTTTCAAAAATACAGTGTAACTACACTTCCGAATAAATTTACAATTTCAAACACCCCCCAATGGAAATTAATTGCCATAATTCAAGAACATAAGTTGGTGTAATTCCTGTTCTTTTACCCCCCTTGCATTTCAACAGTCGGCAAAAATTCCGACTTCAGAGGCTAGCAATTTAGCATGGCTCTACATTTATTACCTTTTTTTTTTTTTTTAAATTTCAGGGTTAAGCTGATTCAAATACCTATTATTACTAAATTTTTTGTATAAAATTTGAAATTTGAAATCTTTCTTCTCACCCAAATAATATATGACATCCATCTATTAAATGGTATTAATTAAGTACAGATCATAGATTATAATTAATAAGAAAGCTAGGGATTGACAGAAGAGAGAGAGCATGCCAATGATCACATATTTAGATATTTGAACCAATCTAAATATGCTTGGAAGAGGCACTTTATGGGGGAAATAATGCGTAATTGTCTCCCTCTTTTTGTAGTGAGCCTTCCGCCAGCACTCATGAGAGATTGCAACTCTTGTCAGTTCGATCCTTCTCCTTGATATTCAGCCGAGCTTTTCCGACGCCGTTCATTGTGCCCTGCTAAACGTCTCCGGCAGCTCCTTTTGCTGTCATCAAACTCTGATAAATCATGGAACCTGCAGGCCCCATTTCGAAGACACATGCTTAAGAGGTTGAGTTAAATGAAAAGTAACTTTCTTTTTATTTCACAACGAAGTCGAACTGGGCATTTCATAGATGTTTTGAGCACAAGTGTCGCTGAACTGGAAGCTCATCGGCACTATTCTTTTATTCTTGGCTAAAACTACCTCACACCATTCGATTACTGTATAAAATACAGAAAATCTAACCTTTAGTTTATTACTGTTCTATGATATATCTATGTTAATTAGTCCAACTAAAACTAATTTGCAAACATTCAAAAACTTAGAATGTATTTTTGTTAGTTTCTATTGACATTATTTATATATTTACGTGTTATGTCAAATGATCGAAAATAATTAATAGAGTGATCTTTTAGAAATGAGGGACAAACTAAAGATTACTTTAAACTATTTTTAAATAAAAAAATATGATTAAAAAATTGTGTAATATAGAATTACATATTAATAGATTTTTCTTGAATAAGGATGTGGAGAAATTTCTTATATACTCTTGGTATAATAATATTTATTGTATTATTTCATTAATGACTAAAATTTTTATATTTTAAAGAGTTTAAAAAAATCTAAAACATAATTTGATAAATGAAAAATAATTTTTAATCCATTCATTAAATCAAGTTAAATTTTAAAAATAAATTTAATCTGTTTATTAAATCAAGTTAAATTTTAAAAATAAATTTTAAAGATCTTATTCTTACCATATTAAAATTTTATAATGATAAAATATCAGAAAAGGTTTTTTAAATAAGATTCGAAAGTTACTATATATAATAAAATTTTAAAATTAATATTGTTTTTTTTCTTCAGATTTTATAAAGGGTTTTTTTTATATTTCTTTATAACTTATATGTTACATAACTTTAAATCATGAAAACTCTAGCTTCTATCTATACTCTATGACTTTAGATCATGAAAACTCTAGCTTCTATCTATACTATACTATACTATATTGTACACCTCTTCAAATAATCTTGATGTTGAAAATTATACAAGTACGTGAGTAAGAAATTGTACGAATACATGTGAGTTGTCTATTTCAACTCATTTTTCGATGTTGTATACGACGTCGATATTGAATGCAAATTTATTTAATGGTGATCTTCAAAGGACAGAGCTGCCGTCCCCCCATTAATTGTAGCTTTTTACTCATAAAGTTGGAAGTTAATTTCCAGTGGCCTGTGAGCACTTACTGAGTTAGATTTTGCTTTATTTCATGAAGAACACAATCGACTAGTGGACAAATTGAAATGCTATGAAGGCGACTCACACTTTGTCAAATTAGGCATAAGTAATTACTATATTCACTAATTAAGGTTATTAATTAGATCATTAACAACGATATTAAGAGTAATACTAAGAATGGACAGACATTAACGGGAGTGGGGTTTTGTGGTGTGCCCCTTTATTAATCTTTTTCTCTAATGGCTTATGGTAGTTTTGTGATCTCCAGCTCACATACCTATCCTTTGGCCACTGTATTGTCATGCGTGACTTGTGAACAAAGAGAGTTAGGTACGTACTTAGGTTTGGATATCTAAAAGCAATCAAATTCCTAGTGTTTATTTCTGCTTTACAATTTTTTTTTAATTTTTTATCATAAAAAATATTAAATTAATATTTTTCATGTGTTTTCGAATAGTTTTAATAATCTTGACGAAGTAATATATAAAAAAAATTATTTTAATAAATTTTTATTTTTTTAAAAAAATACCCTGTAGCAGAATACCAAACAATAACTTAATTGATCAACATGAATTTTAAAATTCATTTTCAAATACAAAACAACACATGAGTTTAAAGAGTCAACAACCACAAATCCAATACACATTAATAACATTTATTCCCAAAAAAAAGTCAAATGTTTAGTACGTATAGTGTTAATTTCAAGAGTAAATTAAACAAGATATTTATTTTTCAGGAAAAAAACCTACAAAGTATACAATTTGATCACGGATAAAAGATAAATAACAAGAAAAGGACTTTTCGAAAATTGTGAGCCATTGAATTGTGATTTCAATGAGAAACCCAATAGTAAATCTCACTAAAATAATAGCTCAAATATATTATTTTTTGGTGTTCTTCCTTAGCATCATGCAAGTATATTTTTGTAACAAGTAGAAATTAATGCTCTTTTCTTTTTTTCTTTATTTTTCTAAGGATAATAAGGAGGTCAAGACTAACATATTTGAAATAGTCAAATCTTAATTTATCTCTTCTTTCCTTTTTTCTTCCTCCTTCTTAGTAACGGGAGAGGAGAGTTTTAGCTTCCAACCTCCTCTTTAGTCTTCAGGGGAGATAGGGTCAGGGTCCAAGCATAAATATAAAAAGACAGAAGGATTTTAATGCTATATTTCTTTGATGGGGAAATGTTTTTGGTATTTAGGTTAACATTTGATCTTTTATTTTCAGGGTTAACTCATCATAGAAAAACATATATATTTTTCTCTTTAATTTCTTCATATTATGTAGGAAGGGGGGATTTCTTCCTGTTCTTCTTCTCTTTTTGGGGAATTCTCTTTTTGGGGAATTAAAGAGAAATTGTTCGGGAGAAATTGCTTCCTCATGATATTCATTTGGATGCAATGAATAATTTCTCTTTATGAATATATTTTGTAATCCCTACATTCATTTTAAATCTAATTTCAATATCATAACTAAATAATAGAAAGTTCTAAATTATAATTTGAGGAATTATATCACAGATCTCTACCCCCATTTAGCTATGAAAATATCTCGATTTTGGGCTTGTTTTCATGCTAATTAATGGGATACCAGATTTCCTTTGAAAGTCTAAATTTTAAGTTTAAATCTTCACAACCAAGACAAATAGTCATGTATTTGAGTCACAATGAATAATGGAAAATATCGTTAATTTCACAATAAAAAAGAAGAAGGAAATGTTAATTTCAAAAACTAGCTTGAGAAATTAGTTTTTTTCTTTTTCTTTTTCTTTTTTTAATATAGATAGATGTTAATTTCTTTTTTACCACTCTTGGAAGGATAGAAAAAATAATTTGTGCAGTTGATTTGAAGTGTTGGAAATAACGAGGAAAATTAGGGTTTCACCTGCTACATTGCTGGCAAAAGCGTTGCTGCAGTCCATTGACGGGAACAAAGGGAGCTTTGGCATGGAACTCACAAACCTTATGGCGTCTATGGTATCGCTTGGCATCAGTCAGATCAGAGGTGCAATTATCTGCTTGACAAGAAACCAGCAGCATTGACGACGACCCACCACCACTAGATCCTTTCTTTCCTTTCTTCGTGATCTTGTCATCATCTACAAACCCTAGCCCTCCAGCAATATCTTCATCATCCTCTTCTTCCTCTTCATCTTCTATTTCCTTCAAGCTCCTCTTTCCTTCAGCTCTGCTTGTTTCCATATTCAGAAACAAATAGAAGGGTAGCTAAAAAGAAGCAAACAAAAGATATGAAGCAAACAAGAAGCTACAAGACCTTGATAAATAAGGTGGAAAAAGGAGAAGAGCTTTGTGTGAGGACCACATTCTTCATTTTTTTTTATTCCTTATCAGAATAATAGTGAAGGCTAATTAAGTTTTAAGCTATAGCTTAAAAACTACATACTCGATTCCATGTACGGTTGTCGCTGTATATGTGCAGTATACATATACTCTTCCTTCCACGGCCTTGTTTCAGATTGTTTTTAATGTAAAACAGTGAAAAGGTGTTAAAACATGGTTACAATTAATCATATTTTCCATATAAAGAAATTTATATAGAAAAATTTGGAAATCAACTCCAAAATTATAGTAAAAAGGTGTTAAACATGGTCACCGTTAAGAGGATAGCTAAGTGCATGTTTTTTCCAAGATTGTACTCATGAAATCCTTTCTCGTAGAGCATCATGACTTATCAGACTTTTATTTTTTGATATAAAAACAATATATAAATTTTTATTAATATATTTTTAGTATAAAAGACTTAAAAGTATTTTGAAATTAATTTTATATAACTTGATTGATTTGGTAAGTTCTAAAATAATATATATAACTGAATAAATAAGTTTGACTAAAAAAATTAAGATAGTATAAACTTTTAAATATTAAAATAAATACATATTAAATTGATTTAGATAAACTTAAGTTAATTTGTTATTAAGATAACAATTTAAAAAAAAATATAAATATATTAAATTTAATTTTTAATATATATATATAAATATATTAAATTTAATTTTTA